TAATATAAAATTTATATGAAATTAATATGTAAATTATTGAAATATACTTATTTAAAAATGAGGTATTTAATCGCAAAATTATTGTTGGTCGGTTATTTTTGCTAGGTGAGTGTACCTATTCACATTATTCTTGATGAAACTCAAGCAAAGTTAGATAATATACAAGTTGAATTTCTTTCACCAAATACTACTACAGCTCTTCAACCTTGTGATGCTGGAATTATTCATTCATTTAAGTGTTACTACAAGCGTCTCTTTATTAAAAATCGAATTAATGCTTATGATGATTTACAAAATAATGTAGTACAAGAACTTGCAGATTATAATATTTACGATGCTTTACTTAATGCAGCAGAGGCTTAGTCAATGGTATCATCAGAGACAATTGCAAATTGTTGGCGAAAGACTAATATTCTTTCACAAGAAACAAGTCTTCCAATTCCAATTCCAATTCCTGATAAGTATGTTAATATTTTATTATTTATGATAAAAAAAAAAATATAAATTAAAAATATTATTTATCATTTTAAGTGAAAACAAAATACAGGAACTTGAAGAATTAATTATTCGCTTACCAGGAAATGATCATCTTACTGTGAATGATTATATTCATATTGACGATGAGGTTGAAGGCGGGCTTACTGATAAAGAAATATTAGAGATAATAGAAAATGAAAAGGATGAGCCTGTTGATGAAATAGTAAAGGAAGTAGAAAAAGTAACTTTAACAGAAGCTGAAATGTGTATAGATAAAACTTTAGAGTTTTTATATGAACAAGGATTAGAATTTGGGGAAATTAATGAAGAGATAAAAATTTTAAGAAATTTGCATAAACGGGTTAAATTAATGGCAGTAAAAAATCTTAAACAAGTTGATCTTCATTATTTTGAAAATAGAGAAACTAATTAAAGATTTTTAAATAAAGAATAATAAAAATAATCATTTTATTGTCATTTTAATTAATTACTGACTTGCAAAATGAATAGAATTGAAATATACATTGATTTTATTGGTTCACTTTATATACCGAACTGTTCGGTATATAGAAATAAAGTTCTATAACGAACTTTGGCTATAACGAACTAAAATCTTCTAGCCCAACAAGTTCATTATATCCAGAGTCGACTGTATCGCGAGTTACGTCCCGAACTCTGTATTTATTTCTCGCATGTAATAATAAAAAAATTTCTCTAAGACCATGCGGTCCCAGAAATCTTTTTTTCTTTGCATTTTCTGTGACGGCCCTCACGCAAATTTTTTAGCAGAACGGATAAATAGAATAGAGCATTAGCATAGAAACTTCGTCATATATTACAATCAAATCCCGAATCTTTTATTTCTGTATTAATGAAAAGTTTTCTTGATTTTCTTGACAAAAAGCGCGTGAATTTTTTCATGTGGTCACATGATTTTTATTTTTCTTAGAAAATGGCTGTAACGCGATTTTATCATTTAAGCATAAAAAGCATTGAATAAGGTTTTTTACCCATATCGGGCTTTTGTAACTGTAGAAAATAAAAAATGTAAGGTTTTTTTTAGTGAACCCATGCTAATTTATTTTTAATATTGTTATTTAGTATAATAAAATCCCAAAGCACATCTCACATATACAGAAACTCAATAATGTTCAGCAAAAAAAATTCTGAGACTAAAAAAATAAAGATAAAAGATCACGTGATAATAATAATAACCAACTTCGATTTTAAAAACCACACCAATCAGAAAGATTAATGGCAAAACATGTATTTTTTATAGTGAAACGCCCATATCACTTTTGCTTTTTCTCCACTAACCTTTTTTCCTCCGCTAACCTTTTTTTCTTTGCCAACCTTTTTTCCCTATTTTTCTCCGCCAACTTTTTCTTTTCCAACTCTTCATTTTCCAACTCTTCCATTACACAACATGTAAGTTCCACTTCAGGTACCAGTTCACCAGTATCTTCCATAACAACACATATCTTATATGGGTAGTAAAGATAGTTCGCAAGACCTTCCAATTTATTAATTCCCAAAATACGCATGCCATATTCCATTTCACTTCACATAAACATGATTCCACGATCATCTAAAAACAGAAGAACAGTTCTGAAATGATCTACAAGCAGTGGGTGAATAGATGTGATACCATATTTTTTGCCGAAGAATTCCCTATTCTCTTGGTCAATTAACAATTTATCTGTAGGTCTATATTCACGAAACTCACAATCATTCTTTAATCTGTCAACCAATTCTGAATAGCTTTGCAATTTTTGCATGGTTCCTTTATTTCTCTGCTATGTACTGTTATTATTTGAGACTTGATTTGGAGATCTGGTCTCCACTGGCATAAACAGGTCCAAGCATTCATCTCTGAGCAGTTCCCGAACTCCCACTTTTCCAATTTCGGAATCACATTCCCATATTGATCCTGAGGAAGAAGGTATCTGTCGTTCTTTTGTCGGATTAGGCACAATTTTTTCCTGTCTTTCCAATTGAGAGCTGGAATTGATGCACCAAATATAAGGTTGATAATACTTTCCTGGTTTGCTTTTCAGGAAGCGTTGATTGTATACAGTTGCTTATCGCGATCGTGTTCTATTATAGTTATCCATCGACAGATTTGGTCTTGGTGCTGATAAAGTAATTCCTTCTGTCTCAGATAGTTCTTGCGATTTTTCTTTGTTCTTTTCTTCTTTGGGAAGCTTAAATTGATCGTGCATAAGTAACAGAGTAGAGGTATGCTCCGGTGAAATCCGTTCAATCTGTTATCCGATCTGATCAAAAAACGGATCATTCGGATTATAAATGAACGGATCACGAATAATCTGGATGTGATCCTCGGATAACATCGGATTGATCGGTCATTATGCGGATGACTGAATTGATCAGATAATCCGGTCATTTTATTTTATTTTATTTTTTTTTTAAAAAAAAAAACCACCTTTTTTTCTTTAGGATCAGACATGGATATAGACTTCAGAATTTAGGATTAAAGGTATGTTGGAATAGGGGGTAAATTCGGTTTTTTTTTTGGAATGTTACTAACATTCCTTTCTTTCTTTTCTTTAGGGAATGCCTTCTTGGACCTGGATTTCGGCTTGGGTCATGAAAGTAAGTTAGGTGTGGGTTTTCTTTGTCTTTCTTTGTTTTTGGAACGCTATTAACGTTCCTTTTGCTGCTTTTCTTGTGTTTTTTTTTGTTTTTCTTTGTCTTTGGAACGTCATTAACGTTCCTTTTGCTTCTTTTCTTTAGGAGACGCCTTCCTGGACCTAGATTTCAGCTTGGGCTATGAAGGTAAGGTGATGTGGGGGATTGTTTTTGTTTCTTTATCTTTGGAACGCTATTAACGTTCCTTTTGCTGCTTTTCTTGTGGAATTTTTGTTTTTCTTTGTCTTTGGAACGCTATTAACGTTCCTTTTGCTTCTTTTTTTTAGGGGACGCTACCTGGACCTGAATTTCGGCTTGGACCATAATGGTAAGTTGTGGTGGGTTTTTGTTTTCTTTTTTGTTTTTGGAACGTCATTACCAGTTCTTTTGCTTATTTTCTTTAGAGAACGCCTTTCTGGACCTGGATTTCGACTTGGACTATGAAAGACAAGTTGGGAGAGTGTTTTTTTTTCATTTTTCATTTATTTTTCTTTAAAAATCATTTACATTTCTTTTCTTTTTTTCT